AGAAGAGCTATTTCGACTAACCTTTTAGCACGTTCAGCTTTCTCCTTCATCAGCTCTTCCTTATTCTTCATTACGATGTTTGCCCGTTTTTCCATTTTACGAATAATTTCCGATCGTTTCCCAGCATTTGTCGCCTGAACATAAAAGGTATGCTTTTGTAGAAATATGGACAGGAAAATGACACTCACAAAACCAAAAAGCTTCGGCTCATCTAAACTAAGCAAGTTTCTGCAGTGAAAAGTGTTGGTTCGCGGTAACTGCTTTCTCATAAATCCACAAAAGCTCATCAAAGGATATGGAGATAAGAATGAGTTATACGGTGCTCTTCGAACAGACTGCTGCTGATCGGCCCTTATACATTTTGTGTGAGGATTATTTTCCTTGGAATAAAGCAAGAGACGAGGCTCTTGATTACATAACCTCCTTCCCTTCCAGCCTGAAGAATCGAAGAAGCAGTGCATGACTGTTATGACTGGAAATATGCATATCCTCCTGACTTACAAGCGTGGCTAAAAATGCAGCGCGCCAGGCAGGAAGATAATTATTCAAAAGAAAGATCGCGTTTTTTCCCAAAAAAACTAATATCATCGCGTTTTTTCCTAAAAAACTAATATCATTCCAGCATTTTTGTTCACTGTTATTTAGAACTTTTAAGGTCTCAGAATATTTTTACTGCTATCGATTTGTCAGTCTAAAGGCATTTTTCCCCAGAACTTGCTCTTATTTACAGTGATTCAGCTGAGCATAAATCACCTGTGAGGGCGCAGCTTTCGGAGTAAGCGCAGCTCTCGGCGTTGCTATCCTCACTGGAGTCCTAAAAGAGTTTCGAGTGTAATTCGTCACAGAGATAAAACTTATTGTTAATAACGCAACTGTTCTCCAGCCCTTAAATAATTCATCAAAATTAAAAACTATTTTTTTATACTAACCGTGTCGGTGTTTTGGCAACTGGCAGTGTTGCAACATTAGCCTGAAAACACACAATCAGTTATAAAGAAGAATGTCCCACAGAACATGCAGACACGAGGGGAAGAAGGGTGGGAGATAAAGGGGCGAGGGGGAGGACGAGTACCTTAAATACTTTTTCAGACTGCACAAGATCGCGTTTTTTCCTAAAAAAAACTAATATCATTCCAGTATTTTTGTTCACTGTCATTTAGAACTTTTAAGGTCTCAGAAAATTTTTACTGCTATCGATTTGTCAGTCTAAAAGCATTTTTCCCCAGTGGATTTTTCAGAAAACAATACTAAAATAATCGTCTCCTCCTAAAAACTCTCGGAGAAAATACGTGGGTTGCAATCCGTTCGAGTGCACATTTCACGCTGATTATCAATTGCGCCCTTTTGCAACTATTGTTTTATCGTTTTTATGCGTTTTTGCTTATATGCAAATTGCAAAAACGCATACTGGGACGACCCTGTCTGTGTGT